CCACATAGCGCATAAAATGCAGGGGAGAGAAAAGGCAGAAAGTGCGTTTTCTCCAATTTCCAGGGATGAGGTTACATTTAACAGCAAAAACAACAATTTTGTCTGAAGCCTCTGGATATTCTGTGATCTCACTGTTTGCTACAAAACGCAGAGTTCCTCTCACTACAAAATCAAGGTATTCTGCAGAAGTGATCTTTTGGCCACTACATCCATCCTTTGTTCCTTTCTTAATTCCTTCCAGTGGACTCTGATAACTTTAACTTAAGCTATTAAGAGATTTTATATTTTGCCCTTTATGACCTTTTGCCCTTTATTCCAAGCTGCTAAATAAATAACTGCAGATGATTAAAATACAGACACAAGGTACTAAACAAATAAAACAGAACTCAGCTACAGAAAATGTCTATAAGCAAGCAGACTCTAATGGCTGATCCTGTCATGTTATAGTCACATACAAAGGGAGAAGTTTTCTAAGTCAAACACAGCATATTAATGTATGTACCAACTTCTGTTTGTTTGCAAATTATAACTGAAATACAAGTGAATAATCAGAAAAATAAATAATCTTAAAATTAGGTATAATTTCAACAGAATGATAAAAGATTACCCCGAAATAAACCAAAACTGAAAAAGCTCACACCTCACCTATGAATGCAAGTGGGATTACATGCAGCTCCGGGATTACTCCCTGGAGAAATCTGTGCCCTAATCACACCCTAACCATTATGTGCAAAACATATGTCAAAATAGATTTAAAAAAACAACAACAAAATTTGTGATAAATTTTATACCGAATGCATCAAGAAGGCATAACAATCAACGAACATACGTGTCTGTCTATATGTGTGTGTACTTAACAGAGCCTGAAAAGAGGGGAAGAAAAACCTGACAGACTGAAGGAAAAAAATGGACAATAATTCACTTTCAATAACGAAGAGAACAGCTAGAACAGAAGATCAGCAAGGAAACAAGATTTAAACAACACAACCAACCAACTAGCCAACCAGACCTAATAGGTATCTACAGAGCATGCCACCAAAACCAGCAGCATATGAGCTCTTCTCAAGTGTACATGAAACATTCTCTATGATAGACCATCTGTCAGGCCATCAAACAAGCCTCAGTAATCTCAAAAAGAATGAAATCATATAAACTGTGTTCTCTGGCCACATGGAATAAAATCAGAAATCCATAACAAAAGGAAATATAAGAAATATACAAACATGTGGAAATTAAACAAACTCCCAAATAACCAATGGGTCATAAGGGAAATTGGACTATAATTTGAAATAAATAAAAATAAAAGCACAAACATCAAAATTTATAGAATACTAAATTATGGGATGCTACAGCAGTTCCTACCAGGAAATGTGTAGATGTTCATGTCTATGTAAAAAAGACAGAAGATCTCATATGAATAACCTAACCTCCCACCTTAAGAAACGAGAAAAAGAAGAGCAAACCAAACCCAAAGCAAGTAGAAAAAATATAATAAATATTAAAGACAAAATAAATGAAATAGAGAATATAAAACTAGTAAAGAAAATCAACAAAACCAAAAGTTCATTCTCTGCAAAGAGCAAAAACCCTAACGAACCTTTAGCTATAGCGAAGAAGAAAACAGAAAAGACTGAAATTACTAAAACCAGGAATGAAGAGGGGACATTCCTATCAACTAAATAAAAAATTGCCTGAGAGTTTTCTACTATGAACAATTTGTGCCAACAAATGAGATACCCTAGACCAGTGGTCCCCAACCTTTTTGGCACCAGGGACTGGTTTCATGAAAGACAATTTTTCTACAGACAGGGGTGGGAGATGGTTTCAGGATGAAACTGTTCCACCTCAGATCATCAGGCATTGGTTATAATCGATTCTCATAAGGAGTGTGTGACCTAGATTCCTCAAATGCACAGTTCACAATAGGGTTTGTGCTCCTATGAGAATCAAACGTGGCTGATGACCTGACAAGAGGTGGAGCCCTGCGGAAATGTTCGTTTGACTGCTGCTCACCTTGTGCTGTGTGGGCCTGTTCCTAATAGGCCACGGACAGGTGCCAATCCACAGGTCCGGGGCTGGAGGACCCCTGGCCTACACCAAACGGACAAATTTCTAGAAACAAACAAACTACCAAAACTGACCCAAGAAGACAACAATCTGAAGAGACCTGTAACAAGTAGAGATGGAATTAGTAACCAAAACTCTTTCCATGTAGAAAGCCCCACACCAGATGGTGTTTAATGAACTCTACCACATATTTAAAGGTGAATACCAATCCTTCACAATCTTGCAAAAGCAAAACAAAACAAAACCTCATCATGTAAAGTCAGTATTTACCTGATACCAAAATCAGAAAATCAGAAAAAAAAAAACTACAAACCAATATGCCTTATGAATACAGATGCAAAAATCCCCAACAAAATATTAACCGAATCTAGCAACATATAAAAAGGATTATACACTATGAACAAGCAGGATTTATTTCAGGAATGCAAAGTTGATTTAAAGTATAAAAATAACTGTTGGACAAAATAGTAAGAGACTAAAAGACAAAGTCAAATGAGCATGTCAACAGACACAAAATACATTTGATAAAATAGACTTTCCTAATAAAAACATTCAACAAGTAAAAGAAAATCAGTACAAGTAGAAAAAAAGTTTCTCATCCTGAACAAGGGTTTCTATGAAAACCCCACAGGCAGTAACACACTGAAAAACTGAACACTTCCCCACTAAACTCTTTTTTTTTTGAGACGGAGTTTTGCTCTTGTTACCCAGGCTGGAGTGCAATGGCGTGATCTCGGCTCACTGCAACCTCCGCCTCCTGGGTTCAGGCAATTCTCCTGCCTCAGCCTCCTAAGTAGCTGGGATTACAGGCACGCGCCACCATACCCAGCTAATTTTTTGTATTTTTAGTAGAGACGGGGTTTCACCATGTTGACCAGGATGGTCTCGATCTCTTGACCTCGTGATCCACCCGCCTCGGCCTCCCAGAGTGCTGGGATTACGGGCGTGAGCCACCGCGCCTGACCCCACTAAACTCTTAAATAAAACACAGATGTCTGCTCTCAGCAATTCTATTCAACACTGTATTGGAATTTCCAGTCAGGGCAACTAGGCAAGGAAAAGAAAGAAAAAGTAACCCAGCCGGAAAGAAAAAAGTATTATCTCCTTGCAGATGGCATGGTCCTGTACAGAGAAAATCCTAAGAATCACACACACACACACAAATACTAAACTATAAATAAGTTGAGCGAGAAAGACTGCAGAATACAAGATTAATAGACAAAAATCAGTGGCATTTCTACACATTAACAATGAATAATCCAAAAATGAAAAAAAACAATTCCATTTGCAATAGCATCAAAAAGAATGAAACACTTAGAATAAACTGAACTAAATACATGCAATACTTACAGACTAAAACTACAAACCATAACTGAAGAAAATTTACAAGGCCTAAATAAATAGATGACTATCCTCTATTCAAGGACTGGAACACTTAATCGAGGTAAGACAGCAATATCCCCCCAAATCGGTCTACAGATTCACGCAATTCTTATCAAAATTCTAGCTGGTTTTTTTTTTTTAACGAATTGAAAAGTTGATCCTAAAATTAATATGGAAACACAAGGGATCCGGGACAAAAAAAAAAAAAAAACTGAAAAAAACAAAGTTGAAAGACTCACACTTCCTGATTTCAAATTTTACTATAAAATTACAGTACTCAAGATACTGTGGTATTGGTGGAGAAAACAGACAAGAAAAAAAACAAAACACTGAACAGAGCCTCAGGGACTTGCAACACAACAGAAGTCTAACACGTGTATGTTCAGAGTACAGGGGAACAGCTCCACATAGAGCCCTGGTGACCCTGGCCATATCCATATATACCATGCATGCCAGAGCCTGAACAGTGGCTAATCTGAGTCTTGCATGAATACCTTGTAATCCTCCTGGAACACCAGACGGGAGGCCTGAGGCTTCTGGAGCTGTCTCCTTTTTGCTCTTCTGTCTCCTAGGGGAGGCTGTCGTGAGACAGGTTCTGATGAGTTTGCGCTAATGAGGTACAGAGCTTTCTGCCCTGCCCCTTTCAGCATATAAAGCATCTTTAAGCAGTCAAGAAGGGCTCCTCAAGAATGGAGTATCTCACAATTCACATCCTAATCATCCACGTCCTTGTGGTGTCTGGGACAAGAATCGGGAGGAGCTAGCCCCTTTGGCTTCTTCTTTCCTGTCTATATAAGTAACAAACTGTCTAAACCTAAAAGTGGATTGTTGTATCTTGTATAATTTTCACTATCCCAACAGTTGAGCCACAGCCCTGGCCCTGCCGTGGACTGTGTGTGGACCTAAAACATGGAGTCCCAGAAGAAGTGTAGAGAGAACAAGGGCCTGAAAAAAATATTCAAATAAATAACAACTAAAACTTCCCCAATTTGGCAAAAGACATAAACCTACTGATTGAAGAAGTTGAGGCAACCCCAAAGAGTAAACCCAAAAAAATCTACGCCAATACCATAATTAACCTCTGAAAAGACAACGAAACATCTTGAAAGCAATCAGAGAGAAATAATACATTATGTATGAGGGGTGCAGTGTATTATGTATGGGGGGGAGCAATTTAAATGGCAGTGACTATCTCATCTGCAACCTGTGATCTAATGAACTCTCTACCGCAGCCACAACAGACTGATCTGTACACTCCAGAAGTGCCTGGGCATTTCGTACCGCCTCTTCATACACCAAGAATGTTTTTCCTGCTCCTCATCCCCTTAAAGAATTCTCTCTGACCTTGAAGGCTCAACTCAAGCCTCACTTCATTCACCTCTTTTGCAAGTTCTCTAAATTCTGCTCAAAACTGTTTCTAATTCTGTCAACACGTGTTAAGTTTTAACTTATTGTTCAATTACCACAATGCTAACTTTTACTTAAAACCTCTACAAGGAAAGTGATGTCAGGATGTCCTAAAGCAATCAAACTTCTAACAAGACACTTACGGCCATTCTGATTCAGGATGTCTTTGGTAAGCATCTATGACATCAATTGCAATATTGAGGTTTTCCTCCAGTTCTTTCATTCTTTCATGATTAAGGGATGTAAACAAAATCATTGAAGAGTAGGCAACAATTTTTTTGTCTGGATGATTTAAGCAAGACCTTCCAAACAAGGAAATGAGACTGTTAGCCCAATTGAGTAACATGACAAAATAAAACACAAAAATAACAATGATTCCATTAGCAAACTCACTACATACTAATACTTCTAAGGATTTACGGAAGAATTACACCACTTTAAAATAAGTAGGTTATTTAATGTAAAAATAGTAAATATAAACTTAGTCACAATAAAAAGTATCCAAATATTAAAGTTGAAGTTGACTTAGAACTCAGAAGGCAAAAAGCAAATAACTTACCATTAGAGAAAAAGATTAAAATGGTTACATTTATAAAACACTAAAATGTCCATTCTTGTTAGGAAGAAAAAAATCAACAGGTAAAAAATAATACCTCCATGACTGCTGGCACTGCTTTAATAGTCCTTAGGAGCAAGATATCTACAGGAGAGATGGTACAGTGGGGTGACAAACAGAATTTGGAGTCCGGAGCCTCGCTGTATCTCCTAGCTCCTCTGACTATCAGCCAGGTGACCTGGGGAAGGTCACTGACACAGCGATTGTCAATTATATCATGGGTTATACAAGATGGCAGAACTTTGTTTCCATTTAAACTTCATAATACTCTTCTGAAGGGGGTATTATTCATATATTTCAGATAAAGAATCTGTTAGCTTCACTTGCCCAATAGCACAAAGCCAGCAGCTGACAAAACTGGAATTCAAATTTGGTTACATCTGTCCCATAAATGCATAGAGTGAAGGCAAAGAACCTCTCTTAACATGTCTTCTGATATAAAAAGTGAAGTACAGTCACAAACCTCCTCCGTTTCATAGGTTTTGTGATGATCAAACGAGATTATCTAACAGCAACATGTAAGGCTCCTCTGACTGTCCCACACCTAAGCCTCTCCCTTGCTTTTCTATTACACCCTGGATTTACCCTCACTACCTTAGTTCTTACATCACAACCTACGTACCTATTCCTTTATTTCCCCAACCAAAGAATGAAATCTTCAGGAGTAATGAATATCTGAGTTACCATCATATTCCAGTCATCTATCCTGAAACCCGGCAGATATTAGCTGTCCAAAATAGTTTTGTTTGTTTTTTTGAGAGTCTCTCTCTGTCGCCCAGGTTGGAGTACAGTGGCATGATCTCAGCTCACTACAACCTCCACCTCCTGGGTTCAATGGATTCTCCTGCCTCATCCTCCCAACTAGCTGGGGTTACAGGTGCAGACCACCACACCCGGCTAATTTTTTGTATTTTTAGTAGAGACAGGGTTTCACCATGTTAGCCAGGAGGGTCTCGATCCAATCCAGATAAATGGACTGATTATCCACATCTGACACTGATAAACGAACTGGTTACCCACTTCTTACATTGATAAACTGATTGTTTATCCAAATCTTACAATTCTCCCTATCTTCCAAACATACAGCATTGTGCTGAGCATATAGGTATTCAATATATAAAGAATTTTAATTCACTGCCCACACTTTGATGTTTTATGTTTACTGTTTCTCATAAATTTTAGTGTCCTTAACAATATTACTTACTTTATCCAAGACTTTTATTTTCTTAAAATTAAACTGACATACAATCAAGGGCTCAAGGGCTCAAATCTTAAGTGTACATACAGCCCAATGAACAAACTTCAGATACGTACACATCCATGTAACCACCACCAAGGTCAAGATGTAGACTAACACTTCCAGGACCCAGGTGTTTCCCTAATGCCCTCTCTTAGCTCGTACCCACCCACCAGGAACAACTACTGTCCTGAACTCTATTACAGTGGGTTAGTTTTTCCTATTTTTGAACTTTATATAAAATGGAAAAACATAACCACAGTCTTCCCACAAGTCAGAAAAATTCTTATCAATATACTCACAGAAACAGTTCTGGGAAAGCATGCACCCAAACAATAGACTGGGAATCTTCATTCCGTGAAGCAATGTTGCCTAAAAACTGCAGGCCACAGCGAAAAGCTAAGAATATACAAAAGTTAAAAAAAAAAAGATAAATGATTAAACACAATGAATAAATAAATACATCTTAAGAAATATTCTCTATGTTATTAAACAGAAAGTTTCTGCTTGCTTCTTTTTTGTTTATTTTAAAAATTGAGGTCTCTCTCCACAACGTCACTTTGGAAATAACATGAATATGCCATGGCCGGGCGCCATGGTTCACACCTGTAATCCCAGCACTTTGGGAGGCCGAGGCAGGTGGATCATTTGAGGACAGGATTTCGAGACCAGCCTGGCCAATATGGCGAAACCCCATCTCTACTAAAAGTACAAAAAATTACTCAGCCATGAAATTGCTTGAACCCAGGAGGCAGAGGTTGCTGTGGGCCAAGATCATGGCACTGCACTCCAGTCTGGGTGACAGAGTAAGACTCCATCTCAAAAAAAAAAAAATTAATATGCCTTACCAAAACAATATACTCTGCATACAAAATTAACTAACTTATTGGCTGGGTACGATGGCTCATACCTGTAATCCCAGCACTTTGGGAAGACACGGGTAGGGGGCAGATCGCAAGTTCAGGAGTTCGAGACCAGCCTGGCCAACATGGTAAAACCCCATTGCTACTAAAAATACAAAAATCAGCCAGGCATGGTAGCGGGCACCTGTAATCCTAGCTATTCAGGAGGCTGAGACAGGGAGAACTGCTTGAACCTGGGAAGCGGAGGTTGCAGTGAGCTAAGACTGAGCCGCTGCACTCCAGCCTGGGAGACAGACTGAGACTCTGTCTCAAAAAAAAAAAAAAAAAAAAAAAATTCTACTCAATATTTTAGAATATTAACACTCACATCCATGTAAAACTTAATATGCAGAAAAAGCCAATAGCATAGGTTGCTCTGAAAACCAACTGACCCAAGAAATCATCAGGTACCTAAGCTTAATGCTCAGGATCAGAACACAATTCTGAAAAGGGAAAGACTTAAAGATGTCCTAGACACAAGAAAAGAAATCTCCAGACAGGTGCAAATGACAGTTTACCTTACCAAACGCTGACCAATGGATCTTTATGTAAATACTGCAAATGTTACAAAGACCCTCAAAAATCCCAACATTATTTTTACAGATTAAGAAAGAATAAAGGCCAAAAACAACACCAATAACTCTATTAAAATAACTCATGCTTGTGTTTACAAAAAATTTGATGAGCATAATATATTTGTCACACCACTGCAATTATTCCCTGAAAATAATACTCTAAATATTATTTTGACAATGTAATTACAGTTCTTACCTCAAGTGTGGTAACAAAAAACTGGCACTCAGACCCTGCTAAAAAGCTACCTAGAATAAAGTTCTCACAGAGAGTCAAAAGAATATATGCGCTTTGTTAGGAACCAGGATACTTTTTAAAAGACTATTTGTATTAAGTTTGAACTAACACATCATAAAATGTTTTCTAAGTTTCACTGTTGAATCCAAATTTCATTGTTGAATTCCAACTAAAATTCAGACATTTCACTAGCTGACTTTTTCAAGAAGGTGATGAGAAATATTACTTCCTTTCCATTTTCCTTCTTGCCTTGGTAACATCCTTCCCATACTATCTGTCACTAAACACAAGCCATCTCCTAAACGGTAACACAACTGAAAAATGTAAAAAGGCCTGAATAAATGTAGAGATGCTCCATATTCATGAACTTGAAAACTCTATAGTGTTAAGATAGCAATTCTTCCCAAACTGATCCATAGATTCAGTATCATCCCTAGTATCTCCAAGTATAAAAAATGTTTACAACTCCACAAGAAAGAGAGACAAACAGCCCAATTAAAAACTGGACGAAGGACTCATGTAGGCATTTCTCCAAAGACTATTTACAAATGGCCAAGAACTACTTGAGCATTTGGAAAATGCAAATCAAAACCACAATGAAGTACCCCCACTTCACACCCACCAGGAGGACTACCATCCTGAGAGAGCAGCGAGGATGCAAGAAATGGGAACAAGCACACAGTGTCGGTGAAGAGGACCAGGACTCCGCTGCTACGAAACCGTCTGGCGGCTCCTCAAACGCTAAGCACAGAGTGACCATCTGACCCGGCAATTTTATTCCTAGGCACACACCCAAAAGAATTAAAAACAGATAAACAAATACATGTCCCAGCATGTTCACAGGGGCACTGACACTCATGATAGCCAGAAGTGGAAACAACCTAAATGTGCAACAGACGATGAATACTTGGAGATACTAGGGATGATATGAGGAGTACTATTCTCTCATAAACAGGGACGAAGTCATGATACATGCTACAAGGTGGACGAACCTCAAAAACATTATGCTAAGTGAAAGGAGTCAGACACCAAATGTCACATAATTAATTCTACGATTCCGTTTATACAAAATATCCAGAGACAGAATGCAAAATGGTGGTTGCCAGGGGCTACAGGGAGATAGAAAGAAAGCAACTGCTCAATGAAAACAGGGTATCCTTTTAGGATGATAATATTTTTAATTAGGTCGAGATGGGTAGTTGTACAACACTGTGGATGTACTAAATGCCATTTGATTATTTACTTTAAAATGGTTAATGTTATGTGAATCTCACATCAATATGAAATAATCAAACTCATACAAAAGCAATTACCTAAATTAAGAACAACTCTTAACACACCTAACATGTAACGAATCTGTAAGAATCTACCCTGACTAGTGAATATGAGTGAATAAATAGCCAAGCCAACAACCAAACTATCCATTTATTCCTGAATGACAAACTGGTTCATAAAAGCAGTTTCAGACACCTGCTCCTTTAAATTTTTTCTTAGGTCATCTACCTGCTTCAGTGAAAATTAATCCCGTGAAGAAAGGATGAAGCAATCTTCTACCATATTATCGTAAAAACTAAATCTTTTGAAGCACATTTGGGATAGAGCAGAAAAATGAGATAATGGACTGAGGGGGTCATGGAGTCAAAAGAAAGTATTTTTAAATGAAAAACAGGAGAGCATATTACATGCTGATGAAAATGACGGAGTAAAGAGGAAAAAAAGAGGCTGCCTGAGAGCAAGGGCATAATTTCAGGAGAAAAGCTTCTGCGTAGGCAAGTGGCACTGAAATACAGTACACGTTGGAGGGGCTGGCTCCCCTCTAATAGTTACTTAACCACAGCATTTGAACAGCACTTCCTTTGCTTCTTTATTTAGCACGTATCATTCAAAGAGAAGCCTCCTTCTGCCCACCACAGTGCTTCAGCTCTGGAGTGCCACACTGCCTGCCCCATCAGGACTACCAGTTGTAAGACACAGCACACTCTGAACTTACCGAGTTACCATACCACACAGAGATCTCAAAATAGCTGCCCTCCCAAGTGACACGGTGAAACACAGACTTTACTGCTAATTTATAGTTCCCCAATTCTGAGTACTCATGCTTCCATTTCATTATAAAATGGAACTATGGAAGTTATCTTTAAATATATAGTATCACAAAAACATTTCACAGCTAAATCCTACATCCTTTAAATTTCTTGAGAATATTTTTTAAATTACTGATGCTCAAAAACACTTGCAGATATATTTTGTGTGTAAATTCCTAAACGATGTAATTAATTTTCATTACCATTTCCCAAAGGAAGGCTTCAAAATCAAATAGCAAGATCCAAAAATTTTTAGCAAATTGAGTTTAAAATGAAAACACTAAGAAATCACAGAAATTAAACCAAGCCAGGCAGTGCCTCTAACACGCTAATTTAGCCTATTTCACCTGTGAAAAAAGACCATCACCTCTAGTTCTTCTCTATCTACCAAAAGAAGCACACATATTAACGTCAATAGGAATATGCCTCATGTTATATGCAAAGTACAGGCATTGAAACTGTATATAAAACAAGTTGTAAATCAAATCATATTTTAAATGCAACTGGCGATTTCTCATTTAAAGGATATATTCATTAAATTATAAGGTAAAGTTATTATTACAGCAACAACAAAATTTAACCTATAATCTAGTACATCTAACTTATCCACCTGGACATTTACATTAAAATTTTATTTATTTATATATTTGAGACAGGGTCTTGCTCTTGTCACCCAGGCTGGAGTGCAACAGCATGATCTCGGGGTCACTGCAACCTCTGCCTCCTGGGTTCAAGCAATTCTTCTGCCTCAGCCTCCTGAGTAGCTGGGATTCCAAGCATGCAACACCATCCCCCGCTAATTTTTGTATCTGTAGTAGAGAAGGGGTTTCACCATGTGGACCAGGCTGGTCTAGAACTCCTGACCTCAAGTGATCTGCCCACCTTGGCCTCCCAAAGCGCTGGGATTACAGGCATGAGCCACCATGCCTGGCCTTTGTATTTTTTTAGAGACAGGGTTTCACCAGGCTGCCCAGGCTGGTCTTGAACCCCTGAGCTCAAGCAATCTCCCCGCCTTGGCCTCTCAAAGTGCTAGGATTACAGGTGTGAGCCTCAACACCCAGCCTACATTAAGATTTTATTATCAAATAATTTAGGTTTACCCATAGAGTATTTCAATTCCTGGGACAAAGGGATCATATATTAAAAATCTATGTTTTTTTCAAAACATTATGTAAAGATAATAACCCTGTTCAAAGGAAAGGTGTTGATGCTAGAACAGCAAAGACCAAAACCATTCTACCAGTGAGTCAAAAGAAGCTTGGTGTTTCTCTTAATCCCAAGTCAACAACCGTTAACAATCAGAGCCAAGTTCCCTTTTCATCACACTAGATACTTGACTTAGACACTTAACAAGTGGCTCCCCTCAATGGAATGTGAGATCGCTAAGGGCAGAGATTTTTTTTGTCAGTTTTGGTCACTGTTCAGATCACACCCAAAATCTAGACGAGGGCCTGGGCCTGCCACATTCATAAATATTAAAAGATGGCCTATTAGTCTTACCAGAGACTGGGCGGCTTAAACAACAGACATTTATTCGTATACAGTTGTGGCAGCTGGAGGTCCGACATCGAGGTATCAACAGGGCTGATTTCTTCTGAGCTGTCTCTCCTTGGCCTGTGAACGGCCGTCTTCTCCCTGTGTCTTTACATGATCTTTACTCTGTGCATGGCCATGTCCTAATTTCCTCTTCCTATAAGGACACTAGTCATATACCCTCATTTTACCTTAACTACCTCTTTAAAGATCCTACCTCCAAAAACAGTCACATTCTGGGTACTGGGGGTTAGGACCACACTATGATCTGAGTATCTGTGCCCCTCCAAAATTCATATGCTGAAATCTAATCTCCAACATGCTAGTATAAGATGGGGTCTTTGGGAAGTGACTAGGTCATAATGGCGGAGCCCTTGTGAACGGGATTAGTGCCCTAATAAAAGGGGCCCAAGGAGCTTGTTTGTGCCTTCCGCCTTCCACCTTCCACCACAGGAAGCAGCAGTCTGTGGAGGAGAGAGCAGCCCCACAAGACACCCAATCTGCTGGCACCTTAATCTTGGACTTTCCAGCCTCCAGAACTGTGAGCAATAAATGTCTGTTGTTTATAAACTCCCCAGCCTAAGGCATTTTGTTACAGCAACCAGAACAGACAGATTTCAACATAAAATGTGGAAGGAACAAAATTCAGCCATTCAGGAAGGGAAGTTGCTACAACTTTACAATTCTTTAATATTAAAGTTTCCTGAGCTCATGAAATAGACAACATGTGCTTCAATGAATGCGGTTAATACTCAAAGTGCTGGTTTTGAACCCTTTATAAAGATATAAATGATCCATGAATTATATTGCATGCTACCTGTCAACAGAGATTCCTGTTCCACTCGCAGTTCACGAAACAGAAGAATCAAATCAACAGCAACACCAATTGTATCCAAGTTCCTAAATCAGGTTTTTAAAAAAAGACAAAATTAGACATGTTCATTCATTCATATATTGTCTATGGCTGTTTTTGCACTATCATGGTAGAGCTAAGAAATCTGACAGATTACAAAGCCTAAATTATTTATCATCTGGCCCTTTACAGGAAAATACAGCGATCCTATCAGTAGGGTTATATTTACGTGCAAAGCCAACTGTTTTCAACAGTTTTCTTTAAGCACTTCCTGCAGTTTCCCATGACTCAGATTCTTTGCTTTATTGTAGTATTCCCCATTCCATGCATTCTTGGCAAAAACAATCCCAGTCCACACAACGTGCAAAAGATGCAGAAAGATCTAGGCCTTAATAGCATCACACCTTTTGATTAACTCCTTAACAACTTAAAACATCAGAAAAATATGTACTTGTTGCAGTCTGACTGGCTCAGAAATACTGGCCTTAGTTAAGCTTGGCCACAAAGTCTTTACTAGAAACTTTGTTGTATTTCTTTCTTTTTTTTTTTTTTTTTTTTTGAGATGGAATCTCACTCTGTTGCCCAGGCTAGAGTGCAGTGGCATTATCTTGGTTCACTGCAACCTCCGCCTCCCAGGTTCAAGTGATTCTTGTGCCTCCGCCTCCTGAGCAGCTTGGATTACAGGTGCGCACCACCATGCCCGGCTAATTTTTGTGTTTTTAGAGATGGGGTTTCACCATGTTCGTCAGGTTGGTCTCGAACTCCTGACCTTGTGATCCACCCACCTTGGCCTCCCAAAGTGCTGGGATTATAGGTGTGAGCCACTGCACCCAGCCTCTTTGTTGTATTTCTAACTAGAAAATTACATTCTGAAAACTGCTGCCCTAAATGGTTGAAATTTTCTTTTAAAAATTAATAGTGAATAATAATACAATCCTAGAAGGGAAGAGGCAGAAAAACTAACACCCTTTATGTTCATTTTCATTTCTGCCCAACTATAAGTTGCATGCAATAAAAAGATATTATCACAAACAACACAGTCCTTGCTTTGCTGGCCCTACCAAAAGATCACTAATAACTTATTTGCCAGAGTATTTATTTTTGTAATGTTTGAATTTTTATAGTTTGCACATATTACTCAAAACTGAAAATAAAAATTGACTGCTTTGAAAGAAAGTGGTATTAACATAAACTTGTATTATCTATTCATTCCTAAGACAGAGGCAGAAACATTTAATCTTTACTGAGCACACTATGTGCATTAGGCATTTACGTAAGTAATCTCATTTGCATCCCATAACCAGCCTGTTTGGAAGATATTGCTTACCCAGTTTTACAGAGGAGAAAACTGATATTCAGGAAGACACCTGTCCAGGGTCACGTGGCCATGTAAGGATGGAGCAGTCATCCACAACAGGTCCAGTGTGTAAGGCGCAGGACAGCAAGTGCAGACTGCTTTTGAGCTTATTAAGCTCAGGACAGTGAGGGCAGACTGCTTTTGAGCTTATTAAGCTCAGGACAGTGAGGGCACACTGCTTTTGAGCTTATTAAGCTTTAGAGTGAGATGTCTGGATATGGAGAGAAGGTTCCCAGTCTCTCTCACTTAACAAGTGACTCTCAGACAAGTTATTTAACCTCTCCAAGTTGCAGTTTTTTCTTTTGTAAAAATGGAAAAATTTCTCGAGTTTTCTCTAAGAATTAAAGAAGATTCTACAAGTAAAGCACTTGAGAAAAAGCCCGATGCCGAAGGCAGCAGGCTCACCAAACACTTGCTCCCTTCCCCAAGGTTAGCCAGGCACAAAGGTATACCCTACAGCCACAGTCAAAAGCTAGTTCTAAGGCTCCCCTTTCCCTCCCCGTCACACTACAGCATCTCCTGACTGGAAAAGGACAGAAGAAACTAGCCTTCTGGCCAAATACTTCTAGCTTATAACTAGTTATGTTTTAGAAGGCTGACTATTATTATCAAGATTATTATTGTTTCTATCCATGTATCTGCAAATGGATGGCAGGTCTGGTTCAGTACTGAAGTGACATGACTCACTTTTTACCCCCTCTCCTTTCATCTTAAAAATCTCATTAATCATATGAAAGCCTCGGGTATATGTGTCTAAGCAAAGGGAGTCCCTCAAATGGCTTCCGGACCAGCCCAATCTCACCCGTCACAGCGGTGACAGGGAAGCCTGGAGGCTCTGTCCACATTCAATTCCAGGAAAGAAAGTGAGCATCCTGTTTGTGACTTCTGACTTCAACTAAAAATTTTTAATAAAAAGCAGATTCCATAAAATCAAACAAGAAAGATTCTGGGTTCTGGGAGGAGAGAGCAACATGTAAAAGCAAAGAACAGCACTGGACAGCTCAGCTCACCTACTCCTGTTTTAACTACTTTTAAAAATGTGCACATCATAAAGTAAGAGGAAGCATAGCTTGAAACTTTACACAATCTTTAGGAAAGACAGGTCATCCTGTACATTTACAAAATATGCTTCTTGTTCAAAGATGAGGAACAAATTAAAACATTGAAAGTAATTAAAATATTTACGACCTGAGGTCAAGGACTGCACGTAAACTTAAGCAAGTAAAATCTAGGAACAGACTCAAAATCAGCTTCAAAACACTATAAAGAACCAAATACCTTAAAACATAAATACAAATAAGAAATCTAGCCCCTACTGTTAAACAGACGCTATTACATGCTGTCCCATTATATACTAGATGAAGAGACTCCAATGGCAGGACCTGTAACGGACTTCTTGTTAGACATAGTGGACTTGAAGTTTCTTTTTTAAAAAATCAGTATGTTAGGATGTTCACTTCTCGGTTCTGTTTGAAAGTTTAACTTCCTTGTAGTTTTAATAAACAACTTTTTCTACTAGTTTTCATCAGTTTACATCTGTTCTCATTTCCTGCAGATGTAAAGGATAATCCTGCAATAACAGTGTTTGATACTAAAATGTCAAAACAACAACTTATTTTGTTGCTGTTGTTGTTGTTGTTGTTGTTTTGTTTTTCCCTGAGACAGAGTCTCACAATGTGGTCCAGGTTGCAGCAATGGCATAATCTCAGCTTACTGCAACCTCTGTCTCTCTCAGGCTCAAGCAATTCTCCCATCTCAGCCTCCCAAGTAGCTGGAACTACAGGTGCACGCCACCATGTCCGGCTAATTTTTTGTGGTTTTGTTTTTGTAGAGACAGGGTGTTGCCATGATGCCCACGCTAATCTTGAACTCCTAGACTCAAGCAATCCTCCTGCCTCAGCCTCCCAAAATGCTGGGATTATAGGCATGAGCCACCTCGCCCAGCCCAAAACAACTTCTAACAGATAAGCCAAATGAGAGAACCAGTATGCACATATACAAAGAAACAGAATCAAAGGTACAAAACTACAAGGAATACTACCTGATTGAATTTTGGTTCACAGAACACTCTATGCAAGCATTTCGAAGACACCTGAAGCACTCTGTTATTAACTGCAGGCTGGAAGCCAGATTTTCTGCTTGGGATGGATCTCTGCAGGCAAGCTCAACAGCATGAGAGGATTTCTTTAGGATATCCAGAACTCTCTGGAAGATAGTCCTGGGTGCTGTTTCTCTGAAAAAGGATAAAATTGTTACAAATCAGAAAAAAGACTATAATTTCCAAATGTCCTGTTCAGAAAGCTGCTTTCATCTACTATTGCAGGGAGAGGGACCACGCTTATCTGATCTAGCTCCTTAACTTACAACCCCAAATAAAAGATCTGCATATACAGAGCACTTACTATGCATCCAGGCACTGTTCTTGTCCCTTTTCATGTATTTTCTCATTCAGTCTTTGCAACAGCCTAAGAAGCCTACACCGTCCTCTCCATGTTACAGAAAAGGTAAGTGAAGTAGAGACAGTGAGTAACATGCCCAAATCACTCAGCCGATAACTGGCAGAGCCACAAAGCCAACTGAGGCACTCTGGCCTGCAGTGTCATGTCACCACCCATGACAACCCAAGTCCCAGTTCCGGTGACTGCTCGTGCTTATGGATCTGCCCTTAATCAGAACAGAGTATCTATATTTAATGTTCTAGACAGAGAATATAGTCTGGTCCTCTGTCACCCAATATGTACCTAAGTTCAGTTGTAAGACAATATTCCTATAGGACAAGGATACTATCTACTCTGTAGACACTGTGAGGCTGACAACACACACACACCCGACTTCTATACAGTCAGCGACACAGATGGGAGAGAAAGGAGGGAGGGAAAGAGGGAGGGAGAATGTAAAGTGTGCCCATTCTTCCAGCAAGAATGTATGCCCAGGGAGAAAGAGGAGCCCGTGGCTGTTCCCTGTGGGCATCGTAGTCTCTGCATGCCTCTCATGCCAGGAGTACTGCCTGCACTGGCTATCATTCCAGAGCTCTGAAGATAAGAATTTTTTGTGCAACATGGCACCTAAATGCAAGCCAACTTCCTCATTCCATAAATCTCCTAAAGAAACAGCAATCTGTTTTAATGTTAGAAGGAAAATTGTTACATTGGACAATTTAAGTGATTCTCCCAAATGATTCGGACCATATGAATTTTCTGCTTTTGCTCTCACTGTAGAATCACCGTGCTGTTTCTCTGAGAAAGGTATTTCGCCCTTGGACTGAGCCAGACCAGCAGGGAGCCACATGTTCATTTGGAATTCGGACACTGAGCTGCCCAGATTAGAGCTGCTCAGTTGCTGCAGGAGATACCTATGGAGGCCCCTTTTCTGGGGCCAGAAGAAACACTTCTCTCCCTGAACTTCAGTACCACGACTTCTTATACACCAAGTGATGTGGGTGTTTATCTTACGAAGAGACAACAGAACTCACATCATTCATTAGGTTTTCTCTCTGTCCGGGCCTTTCTTAAGTCTGGAGTCAAATTTATGACCATGTTTAACAACAATATGAATCCTTACTTTTTCTATCTGGTTTTTCCACTCTCCCTAATTTCCTCCCTTATCTTTTTCTCATTGTATTTATTTTTTAAAGCATCTTAAATTCAGTTTTGGAAAGAGGCAGAGTATAAATTAATTAAAAACTGGGAAACCGCACATAAAATAATTTGTCTATATCTCCCCCCAGTCAGCCCTCTGAGTGTAGACGATGAAAGTGACTCAGCGTCTCGACAACTGAGTGACGTGACTAAATTGAAAAATAAAAATTCAGGCCGGGCACGGTGGCTCACGCCTGTAATCCCAGCACTTTGGGAGGCCGGGCGCGGTGGCTCACGAGGTCAAGAGATCGAGACCATCCTGGTCAACATGGTGAAACCCCGTCTCTACTAAAAATACAAAAAATTAGCTGGGCATGGTGGCGCGTGCCTGTAATCCCAGCTACTTGGGAAGCTGAGGCAGGAGAATTGCCTGAACCCGGGAGGCGGAGGTTGCGGTGAGCTGAGATCGCGCCATTGCACTCCAGCCTGGGTAACAAGAGTGAAACTCCATCTCAAAAAAAAAAAAGTTAAAGGGCACAGCACTGATCTTGCCTAAATAAACTGTATGAAGCAAGTATATAAACCATTTTTAGTGACAATATTGCCATAAGAAGAATATTCACTAACCCTATTTTTTTTTTTTTTTTTTTTTTTTGAGATGGAGTCTTGCTGTGTTGCCAGGCTGGAGTGCAATGTCCCAATCTCAGCTCACTGCAATCTCTGCCTCCCAAGTTCAAGCAATTCTCCTGCCTCAGCCTCCCAAGTAGCTGGGACTACAAGTGCATGCTACCACCCCCAGCTGATTTTTTTTTTTTTTTTTTTTTGTATTTTTAGTAGAGATAGGGTTTCATCCTGTTGGCCAGGATGGTCTTGATCTCTTGACCTCGTGATTTGCCCGCCTCAGCCTCCCGAAGTGCTGGGATTACAGGCGTGAGCCACCACACCCAGCCAAGTCACTAACACTCTTCAGGTGGCTTTAAAAAGTACTAAATATATTGCAGACAGCAATAAGCTTAAGAAAATACCCAGGAGTTTACAACATTGTGAAGAATGCTAAGGCTGATCACAATTTCTGGGACAACAACCAATCTACTCACCTCTACCTGCCCCATCTGCATGCAGTTTTGAACCCATGTATTAGGTATAGTCAAATAAAAGTAGAGCTCTGCAATGGAATAAACTTCAATAACGCCTCTTTTCCTACTAAGATGACGAAGAAATGTGTATTTACAGCTGTAGCAAAGCAGTGAGAATTCCTTCTCTCACCTGATCCTTTGCCATCTGCCTCTCACGTGGGCACCACCTTTCCCCTGTGAGTGGTCTTCCCTGAAGTCATTCCTTGCTATCTTAACATCTGCTTTACTCAAAATTGGTATCTCGCACAGCAAAAGCTTTGGAATCAAGCTATGGTGCAGACTAAACAAGATAGAAGAAAAGAAATTCTTAAATAAATATTCCAATATTTACTTCCAATATTCTTAAAGAAAACTGGAAAAATGATACCCTGACCACAGAATAAATACTAAGTTCATGAATTATGTTGTGAATAATTCCCAATGCTACGTGTGAATTTGTTATATATGCACCACGCCTTTACAATAATTTTAACCAAAGGAAAAGCATTTAACTGAGCTAAGGCCAACTAAAAGATTCCTGAAATCCAAATACCTATTAATAGCGACTAAAGAGTAATCATGACAGCATTCATTTGGCACACAGTAATTCATGTCTGTGGTATAAAGGAAAACTAATGTGGGGCTGTGATCACTGTCATATGCTACACCATGGATTCCTGAAAACCCCAGTACCGCCAATCTTTGGTCTTTGCTCAAACATATCCCACCAGCAGAAGTCGTCTTTAAATCTCCCAATCCTCTGCCTGGGAGAAACTTACATCTCCTTTTAAACCTTTAGAAAACTCACAGCCCTGGTGAAACTCCTCCTCTTTTCCAGACAAAGAGACTCCCTCTATGCCTCCCTGGAGCTCTGTTCATAAGGCTGGAATAACTTGTCCACATCAGATAATATTTACTTATCCCATCTCCCCAGCTAGATTGTAAGTCCTTGAAAAATTGAGACTATCTTTTATTCTTTTCTCTATCTCTAGGGCCCAGAACTGGCACCCGCTAACTGACTTGGTTCAAGTTTTAAACAGTGAGGAGACTGTTCGCACACTCAGTGGCCCCTGACTCCATCACCACCTTGCTACGTAATCCAAGCACTCACTGAGCCTGTGCTCAGACCCAGGCATCAGGCCTGACATGAGCAGCGAGATCAGTGCTCTTTGAGTCAGCAACTGAAAGAAGGGGAGACTGAGGTAGCCGCTCAACTCTCCCTTTCCCATTAAGAAATCCATAGAACTTCAACTCGGAAAGCAGATGTGAATATTATGTAGATATTTTATGACTGCTATTAAGCAAATACTGAATTTCTCCTTCCCCTTTAAATGATACAGTGGATAAGCTTGCAGGTCTGGGAGGAGTTGTAACCCAATTAACTGTATTTTAATAATATCTTAAGAACAAAGAACATGTTTTAGATGTCTGTTTCCTTTTATAAAAGGTGGCAGTAAAAACTGTTCCTCTAGAGTCATACAATAAATAGCTATAGCTTCTTTCACCATAGTTTTACACAATATAATATATTAACAACTTTCAGCAGATGAGGACAAAAAAGCTTTTATTCAATAACAGCAAATACTATGAATGTATTTAACTCTTGTATACATTTTTGCCTTGCTACAGCCTTGAGAGAAAACTATTCGGCATTACAGATCCGGAGCAGTCCTAGTGCCCTGTCTGCCAAAGTCCGTGCTCACTGTGAGACAGTGCAGCGAAATGTGTGATGATGGACAACGAAACAGTAAAGCCCAGCACTCCAGTACCACACACGTCATTAATAATAACCGCTGTCACTTCTGCTTTAACCAAACTGACAAAAAATACTCGGCTTAGCTCCTGTATTCACAGAAGACAGAAAGCACTTACAAGGACAATTAAAATCCAACCGTTAGACATTCCTATCAGAAAGGAGTGCATACCCTGAAGACAATGTAGGGATGAAATGTTACATTACAGAACCAAAAAAATCCTTTGAATTATACAAAAGATAGAATTTCATTTCCTTCAAGTCTGAACAGATCTGTAGGGTTTAATCTTGGCAAGTCCTATTTGAGAAAAATTAAGAGAAAACTACCCGTGATTATATGTAACAGGTTAGATAGGTCTAATATACTGTATGTATACACATCTTACAGTTAAATTACCAGGTGGGACCGCCTACTGAAAAAGAAAGCCACATGCTACTTATTGTAATGCCACAACTAACACCTTCCTACCTGTTAAAAGATTTATTCTAATACCTTAGATTTACTTAAAAACTGGCATATGTGGTTTAGTTTAACAACTGCCAGTGAGAAAAGCTATTAAAATACACACAGGTTCAGAGATTAAAATAACAATCACTGGTTCTTACTTAAAACCATAAATCTTGCTGATTTGACTGGACAGGACTGAACAAAAACAGAAAATAAAAACATTTGTATCTCCTGCCACAAACAGCCTAGGGCAGAATTTTGGAATCTGCACTGAATGCAAACTTCTTTTTATACTCTTCTCTCCTCTTCTGTCACATCCAGGATTCTGAAGCGGTTCCTGACAACCCAGATCAATCCATTTTGCAGGGTCACAAACTTATTCTGTAAAGGGTCAGAGAGTGAATATTTCAAGCTTTGATAGCCAGCAGTCCCTGCCACACTCTCAATTCCCTGGTGCACAAAAGCAGCCATAGGTAGCACCTCAACAAGTGAACATGGCTGGGTTCTAATGAAACTCTGTTTGTGGAAACCAAAATTTAAAATTCATATAATTGTCATGTGTCATGAAATTTTATTATCTCCCCAACCATTTAAAAACATAAAAAACCATTCTTAACTCCCCACGGGTCATAAAAAAAACAGGTGGTGGGCCAGATCTGGCCATGGTTTGGCAACCCCTGCTTTAAAGGGTTCCAAACATACCAGTCCTCTCCCCACTCCCCAAAAACCACATGCTTCCTCTTTCCCACTGTCCTCATCACATTCAAAATCCATCTCTCATCAGAACAAATGCACTGTGTTAAATGAAAGGAAGTATGAAGGCCAGGCGCAGTGGTTCATGCCTATAATCCCAGTGCTTTGGGAGGCAGAAGCCAGGAGTTCGAGACCTGCCTAACATAGCAAGACCCCACCTCTACAAAAAAAAAAAAAACTTGTTTTAATTAGCTGAGCTTAGTGGTCTGTGACTCATAGTCCCAGCTACTCGAGAGCCTGACGCAGGAGGATCGCTTGAATCAGGGCTACAGTGAGCTACAAGCACAACACTGCACTCTGGCATGGGTGACAGAGCGAGACACTGTCTCTAAAAATACATGAAAAGAAAGAAAGAGAAGCTAAGAAAAGGTGAAATTAGCTCAGAGACAGAAAATCAACCACTGGAACGGAACGGAGCGTCCAGGGACAGAACTGTGCATACGTGGTAACTTGATACATGGCATTTATCAATAGCACTCAAGACCTCCTGGGGAAGATGACTGTGTTCTAAGAGGTGCTGTAACAACTGTTAATCTATAAGGAAAAAAACTGAATTGGATGTTTACTTACAACTACCCAGAAAGTAACACCAGATGGATTTCGGAATATATGAAAGACAAAATTGCAAGGCTTTGGAAGAAAGCACATGGAGAATGTCTTCATATTCTTAGAGAAAGATGCTGTAAATAAGACATTTTTAACCCTGTTTTTTTCCTTTTTTCCTAACCACTAGACCACCAGGGATAAACTGTATTTTAAAAGTATTACTTATGCACAGATCCAAAGGTGAGGGAGCCAACTATGCATCTTCCTGGGAGAAGAGCTTGGACTAGAGGCAAAAGCATACACAGCATGCCACAGGGAGTTCAGGGCTGGCCTGGATGAACCCCAGTGAGAGAACAGAAGAGGAGTGCCACTCAGAGAAAGAAGACGGAGCCCCCAGCACAGGCGAAGGAGGCCGTGGAAGGACGCTGGCTTTTAGCCCGGTGTGAAACCATGGAAGGTTCTTTTTCTCACCTTTTGAGACAGTCTTGCTCTGTAGCCCAGGATGGAGTACAGTAGTAGGATCTCAGCTCACTGCAACCTCTGCCTCACAGGTTCAAGCAATTCTCCTGCCTCAGCCTCCCAAGTAGCTGAGATTACAGGCATGTGCCACCATGCCCAGCAAATTGTTGTATTTTTAGTAGAGATGGGTTTTCACCATTTTGGTCAGGCTGCTCTCAAACTACTGGCCTCAAGGGATCAGCCTGCCTCGGCCTCCCAAAGTGCTGGGATTACAGGTGTGAGTCACCGCGCCAGGCCCATAGAAGGTTCTGAGCAGAGGGGGTGACAGCATCTGACTTACATGTTAAAAGGATCCCTTTGGCTACTCTGCAAAGAATCAATCTTAAAGAGAAAAGAGAAAACAGCAGGAGACCAGTTAGGAGGCTGTTTTTAGAGCAGAGGGAAAGCAGCAGGTATGGTAAATAGAAATCAGATTCTGGATATTCTAAAGATAGAGCCAATAGGACTTCATGCTGAATTTTTATGAAGGATGTCTAAAAAAGGGGAGTGAATGATGACCCCAGAACTTCAGCCTGAGACATAAATTGAAAGATGTATTGATTGTTTACAGAGACAAAGCCTAATCTGAGGAGATCTGGTGGATGAGAGGATGAGAAATACAAGAAGAACGTGAGGTAGTCGGGTGAGTAAACAAGCCTAGCATTTGGGAGAAAAGTCTCGCTAAGCCAGGCGCGGTGGCTCACGCCTGTAAACCCAGCACTTTGGGAGGCCGAGGCAGGAGGATCACTTGAGCCCCGAAGTTCAAGACCAGCCTGGGCAACATGGTAAGACCCCGTCTCTACAAAAAAATTTTAAAAATTAGTCGAGTGTGGTGGTGCGTGCCTGTAGTTCCGGCTGCAAGGGTGGCTGGGGCAGGAAAACTGCTCGAGCCTAGGAGGTCAAGGCTGTAGTGGGTGATGATTGTGCCACTGCACTCCAGCCTGGGTGACGGAGCAAGACCTTGTCTAAAAAAAAAAAAAGTCCAGCTAGAGAAAAATGTTAGTCACCAGCAAACTAAGTTATTAAAGCTACAAGACTGAGTGAGAATACTGTGAGAGTAAACACAGGCAGAAAAGAGAAGATGCCTGAGGACGGAGTTCTGAGATCTGGGAAGGATTATCACTAAGGGAAACGGAGGGAGAGATTTTTCTTAGGATGGGAAAAATTAACAGTACATCTATAAATTGATGAGTGCAATCCCATAGAAAGGGTAAAATTGATGATTTTTTAAAAGGAAGAGAAAAGAAGGCTGCTGGAGCTGCGTGCAAAAGCGAGTGGAATTTAGTGCAAACCTATGGGGAAT